ACAGAAACAGTACTATATAACATTTTAGACACATTCTAGACAGTTTATCAGCTAAAAAAAGTTAATTTTGGGGTAAGTTACTCTTTAATGAGGTTCTATAGAAATAAAAGAACCATTTTAGCTTTTCTTGAATTTCTCATCAATTAGACCAAGATTTCTCAAACTTATTGGGTCTGAGGACCCCTTACAAAGATAAACATATTCCAGGGACCCCCTCATAATCTCATGCTGATTTAAAATTGATTTACTGTCATTTTAAACCCTTAATGCCATGAGAATAATTATTGTTTTTTGGTGGAGTATGTCTGTTTTACTGGTGCATTGTTCCCTTTATGCATTTGTGCATTTTTTAAATGAAAAGCAAAATTAACAGTTTACTATAATTTTTGAGGACCCCCAAGTTACATCTTGCGGACCCTTGGGGGTCCTAGGACCTCAGTTTGAGAACCTCTGAATCAGGCAACATTTGTGCTGAATCACCATTTGACAGATCTCCCTTCTCACAGGCCAGTTCCCTCCTCTTTTCTAACACGTGCTCAAGAGCTGCCTGCAGCTTGTGAGGAAGAATGGAGTCTTCATCATCCAGCTGGAATAAAAAAAGAATAAATCAGATACATTGTATATGAGACCTTCAGTAAAGTCACTAAATACACATGTAACTCCTGTATCCACAACAAAATCTGAAGACTACAGGCAGATTTTTGTAGCAAGCTTTTGGTCTCCATGGTCACTACCTGACGTAGGAATCGGTTGTTGCCAAGGTCAACCACCAGGACCTGCACAGAGACAGAGTGACGTTATTTCCTGGAGCCATTGTTCAGAGCAGGAAAGGCTGCGAGTCAAGGGCACAGCAGGCAGCGTATGAGAAAAGAAATCAAAGCCTGGTCTTACTTCTTCTAACGGCAGCTCTTTGAGTCGAGGTAGCGAGCTGGAGAGGAGGCCCACGATGAACGGGGTCGGGGTGCAGACTATGTCCAACATGGACGGAGGCAGAACGGGGATGTACGTGTGCTGCCAGGTGAAGGGGTACAGCAGAGCCACCACTGCATGACAACACTGAGACAGCGTGCTGTGGAAGGACCGAAACACTCAATAAATACTTGAGTTCAAACTTAAAGTGTATCTTACCCCCAGTGAAAAGATAACTCCGCCCCAAGGCGAAATTTGAAAAATGCATCAAAGTGGGTAGGGGAGGGGTTGTGGGTAGTGGAGGGGGGGGTTAGAGAGCGGAGGTGTGGCCAGGACGAGAGAACGTGACAGGCAGCTAGCATTAGCATAATTGATGCTACAGAGTGACCACAGTATCG